AGAGACAGAGCACTTACCTGGCATGTATGAGACTTGGGATTCAATTCCCAATACTTCAAAAAATAAAGTACTGAACAGCTCATATAGTTTTTTTTCCATCTACTTTATGAATACTGTACTACAAGTGAAAAATGGTATTGTATGGCTTATATTCCGGGCCTAGGAAAAGATCAAAATTCAAAGTATGGCTTCTGCTAGATGCTTATCTCTTTTGTGCCACCACAAGGTTGACCCAAAGTCAAACAAGCCTAAATTAAACACTGCTGGAGTTTTCCTGCACTGAAGCAGAGCTACACGTAAAAGCCACAAATTCCACTTAATAAACACTGCATACTATTATACATTAAAACATATAAGCTATTAAAAAAAAACAAAAACATATAAACTATTTTGTTTCTCTTCTTCATCTGTAACTATAAAAATTACTTAATTCTTTATTTTTTAAAGTATTTTATAGCTCTGATATTTGAGAAATGTAAATTAAACATTTTACATTAGTCATTATGCTTCTACTCAAGACATCATATCCTCTCTCCATGTTTCTGGTCTAAAACCTACCTTTTCTTGGTACCAGGAGTTGAACTCAAGACCTTGCACTTGCCAGGCAGGCATGTGTACCACTGAGCTATATCACCGGCCCTAACATCTATCTTAAATGCAAACTTTTTTGTTTATTTGTACTACCTTGGCTTAGAATACAGACATACTCCTCTGTTGTTCTGTTTGCGAAAGCAGTATGACATTCCACCCAGGAGTTGTTATTAGACCTTTCTATACTTTTTTTTTTTTTTTTTGGTTTTTCTCCAGTACAGGGAACCAAACTCACGACCTTGCGCTTGCCAGGCAGGCGCTTTGCCGCTGAGCTAAATCCCCAGCCCCAGACCTTTCTATACTTTGATAAGAACAATCTTGCTGAGGATATAGCTCAGCAGTGCAGTGTCTGCCTGGCAAGTGCAGGGTCCTGAGTTCAATTCCCAGTACCCCCCCCAAAAAAAACCTATACTGAGAAAAATCTTGCCTGGCTGGGCATGGCACACCTGTAATCCCAGCACTCGGGAGGCTGAGGCAGGAGGATCTTTGCAAATTCCAGGCAAGCCTGGACTACCAAGTGAATTCAAAGCCAGCCTGAACTGCACAGCAAAAACCCTGTCTCAGAAAGACAAAAAGACAAAACAAACAAAAAACCCTTGCCTTTTCCTGCGTTAGTTTTTAAAGCATATGAATACGTCTTTAATGGGCAATACAAAACACCCCCACACCCTTAGATCACCTTCAAACTACCTGCAATATAATTCCTCTCAAAAGCCAAATCTTAGAAATATTTATGAGAGGCTAACTTGCAGTCCACAAAATGTGAACACATAATATTCACCCATGAGCTGAGGGTGTAGCTCAGTGGTAGCCTGCATGCTTCCCATGCAGGAGATCGAGTTCCACCCGTGCCACCAAAGCAGTAACCCACGGATGCACGGAGTCAGAGCTCCAACCCTCCTGCCTCTGGGATCCTGCAAACCAGCCTTAGTGATCGGCGCTGCGGCAGTGGATCTGATAGCTGCACTCCTACAGCCAGAGACCAGGAACACCTACCCTGAGCCTGAATAAGAAATCGCTACAAAACTTGGGTGGTCAGCGTTTTTGTCTGTTGAGACACGATCTCATTATGTAATTCAGGCTGGTTTTGCCTCAAACTCATGGCAATTCTCCTGCCTCAGCCTCCCGAGAGTGCTGGAACTATAGACATGTGCCACCATGCCTGGCTCCCTTGTTTTAAAGGGCATTATAAGTCAAGTATTAATTATATTTCCTTCTTTGTTTTGACCACTGGGAACTTTAAGTTGATACTATGACTTAATGTTAATAATATGAAATAGTTTCTAGCGAGCTCCAAATTATTAACTTTTTCAGATATCTTCTTACTATCCTATTATCTACCTTCCTTCCCCACTTGTGATTTCTAACATATTGTACTGTTACAACTACTACAAATATTTTTTTGAACAGAGATTAATTCATGTAACATAAGCCGACTAGTTAAAGCTCCACTCTAAAGAATATACTGTATTAAAAAAAACACAACAGTAAGAAAACAAACCAATTAAAGAGTGGGCAGAGCTGGGCGTGGTGGCACATGCCTGTAACCCCAGCACTCGTGAGGCTGAGGCAGGAGGATCGTTGTGAGTTCGAGACCAGCCTGGGCTACAAAGTGAGCTCAAGGCCATTTTGAACTCCATAGCAAGACCCTGTCTCAAAAAAAAAAAAGTGGGCAAAGGGCCTAGAGAGACATTTCTCAAAAAACATACAAATGACCTCATCCAAAATGCCTGGGACCAAAGTGATTTGAATTTTGGGCTTTTTTCAGATTGGGTAGTGTCTGTATATACTGTACATACTGAGGTATCTTGGGGATAAGCTCCAAATCGAAACACAAAGACCTTTATGTTTCGTAACATATAGTCTGTAGATATTTTTAATAATCATGTGCATGAAAAAATTTCATGGTATGGAATTTCTATTTGTGGTATCATGTCAGCATCAAAAAGCTTCAGAGGCTGGAGCACTCCAGACTTCAGATTTTCGTATTACCAATGTTCAACACCTATTATGACAAAAACACTCAGTCACTAATTATCAGGGAAATGCGAAAGTAAAACAATAAAATATTACCACACAACAGTCAAAATGCCTATTAGAAAAAAGACAAAAAATAAGTATGTGAGGATGTGGAAAAAAGGGAATCCTGGTATACAGTACGGTTGGTGGGACATAAATTACTATAGCTATTATGGAAAGACACTATGAAACTTCCTAAAAAAAAAAAAAAACTTAGCCAGGCATGGTGGCACACACCTACAACCCTAGCACTCCTGACAGGCTGAGGCATGAGAATCACCCACAAGTTCAAGGCCAGCCTGGCCTACACAGTGAGACCCTGTCTTAAAAAAACAAAACAAAAAAACACCAAAAAAAAAAAAAAAAGCCAACCCCACAAATCTAGCAACCACACTGGATATATAGCCAAAGGAAATGAAATCACATATTGGTAATACCGGCACACAACAGTGAAGACATAGAATCAACCTAAGTGTCCACCCACAAAGGAATGGATAAGGAAAATGTCGTATCTGTACACCACGGAGTACTACTCAGCCTGCAAAAGAAAATCCTGTCATTTGGAGCAACATGGATGAACCTGGAGGACTTTATGTTTAGTGAAATAAGGCAGGGAGCAACTGTATGACCTCACTTACATGTGGGGTGTGAAGAGGAAGAACTCACAGAAACAAAGACTAAAATGGCGAGAACCAGAGATGAACAGGTGAAGTGGAGAAGAAAAGGAAGAAGACAGATGCTGGTTAAAGGACACAAAATTTCTGTTATAAAGAAAAGTTCAGGGGGCTGGGGATTTAGCTCAGTGGCACAGCGCCTGCCTGGCAAGTGCAAGGTCTTGAGTTCGATTCCCGGTACTGGAAACCCCCCCAGAAAAAAAAAATTAAAAAGAAAAGTTCAAGAGAACTACTGTACAGCCAGGCATGGCAGTACACGCCTGTAATCCCAGCACTCAGGAGGCTGAGGCAGGAGGATCGTTGTGAGCTCGAGGCCAGCCTGGGCTACAAAGTGAGCTCAAGGCTGGCCTGAACTACATAGTGAGACCCTGTCTCAAACAGACCGAAAAAACAAACAAACAAAAACCAAAAAACCGAGAGAGAACTACTGTACTTCATGGCAACTGTAGTTAACAGCAACATATTACACCTCTGAAAATTGTTAAATACATTTTAAGTGTCCTCAACACAGAAAACAATCAACAAATGTTACTTTGACTCAGACATTCCACTATTCATACATATCAAAACATCATGTAACCACAAATATAGTTTTTAAATATATATACACCATTTTTACTTGTCAATTTCAATTAGTTGGGAATGTAGCTCTGTGGTAAAGGGCCTGCTTAGTATGTGTGAGGCACTGGGTTCAATCCCCAGCACTACAAAACGTTCAACTGTTACATCAATACTTTGTTCTGTCTTATTTACTCTAGCACAGTTAGTCTTGAAATCAGATAGTTTTAGTCTCTGACTTTGTTCTCTTCACACTGGAGGCAAAGTAGTATAAAGTAAAGAACAAGGGTCCTGGGTTTGAATAATTTTTACTATGTGATTTAGATTACACTGCCATCTCCAAGAGTGAATTTTCATTTCTGTAAAAAGAAAAAAAAAAAGATAGTAATACTTCTCCTATGTAGGAAAGTTACTCAGACATCTCACAGGGGGGAAGGGAGAGGGAAACAGTTTATTTCTAGAAGGAGGATAAATTAGCACAACTTTTTAAAAAGCAATTGAAAAATATGTCATCAATCACTTCTCGGCCTTTTGGCTAAGATCAACTGCAGGTGGGCATGTGGCGTTCACCTGTAATCCCAGCACTCAGTGAGGCTGAGGCAGGTAGGTCACTGTGAGTTTCGGGGCCGCCTGGGCTACACAGTGAGTTCAAAGCCAACCTGAACCGCATAGTGAAACACTGTCTCAGAAAGGGAGGAAAGAAAAAAAAAAAACAAAAAAAAAACGCAAAGATCAACTACAAAAACTATTTATCAAGAGCTTTAAACATGTTCCTGACTTTGATACAGGGGATTATATTCCTAAAGAAACAATACGCTGGGTATGGTGGCATGCGCCTGTAATTCCAGTAGTCTGGGAGGCTGAGGCAACAGGATAGTAATTTGAGCCCAGCCTGAGCAATTTAGAGACACAATGAGACACTGTCTCTAAAAAATATAGTAATATAATAATAATAATAATGATAATAATAATAATGACGGGTATGTACCTCAATGTGCAAGCCCTGGATTCAATCCCCTCTATTGCAAATAATAGTAATAATAAAAAAGACACAAAAGACTGTGTTCAAAAATGTTTACCATAACATCACTTGAAATCACAACATTGAAAGTAATATCAAATGTTACTCACTTCTAATTTTTATTATGAAAATCTACATTAAAACACACTTCTGACACTATTAACTGGAAAAAAAGTGATAGAGGGGTATGTGTGAAGGTCGCAAAGACATACCAAGTGCTAACACTGGTTATAGTTAACTTTCACAGTGAGTAAAAGGTTTAATTTTTCCTCCCTGCTTCCATATTCTTAACGTGCAGATATTTTTACAATAAACGAAGATCTTCCCTTCTGTGGTATGGTTCTGAATACGTTCGACCAAAACGATGACCACTTACTTCCCAATACACAATGGGACCATACACTGAAGGAACAGGAGAAAATCCTCAGTTTATACAGGTTTTTGCCCTCGTTCATCAGCTATTCTAATGCAGGCATTTACAGTGTGTCAGGGACAGTTCTGGTCACTCGCTGTACGACTGTGCACACAACACTCCTTGCTCTCAAATCTTTTTCACTACCGATCTTCATTTCAATGATGTCAGCAACCGTGGAGCTCTGTCCCTGGGACGGCTGTAAAACCATCAGTCCACTCAAGGCAAAACACTGCTTCCGAGTTCGCCTTCCTCGGAGGCTAAGCGCCGTTTATAGCTTTAAAAAAGTGCTGTATGTGATTCATTCGGGGCATGGCCGCGATCCCTAAAACGCTCAGGCAACAGCAGCAAGCTGCCGGCTATAAAGTCCGACTTCGCAGCGCACAGCAGGCTCTCCCCGCGGCACTCGCTCGGGAGCAGCCTAACGCGGGCGGCTCCGCGGCGGCGGGGCTAGCCGGGGACACCTGTCGGGCCGGCGCAGGGCCTCCCGGGCAGCTCACCTGCGAGGCCGGGCTGGCCG